AGATCCGTTCTTCGTCCTTTCGTCAAGGAACCGTCTCTCCAACCGGCTTTCCCTTAAGCCCTGAAGGCGAGACAGCACCAGAAATCTATCGTAAACAAGTGGCGCGCATAGACGACCTAGAGAAAGAGAATAAGAGACTCGCCAAAGAAGCCACTGACGCAGAAAAGCGATGGCAGAAGGCCGAAGAGGAACTAGCTGACCTTCGGGAAGCCGATAGAGATGGTTCGGATAGCCAGGTCGAGAAGCTGGTATGGCAAACACTGAAAGAGAGACCTCGTCTTCTTTACAAGCTAACTAGAGGTTCTTACAGAAATCAGAGATCGCTGCTCTCCAGCGCCAGAACTCACAACTCCAGTCCGCCGCCTCCAAACGCCACGGCTCCTCCCCGTCTATCTCCATGGCCTCTCCTCCCGGGGAACTGCAAGCCCAACTCGCCTCAAAATCTGCCACAATTGAAACCATGGAACTAGAGATCTCGCGCTTGCGCGCCCAAGCTGAGCGTCAAGCCTCTGCTGGGGGCACAGACCGCGAGCAAATCACAGCACTAGAAGAGAAACTCGCGCGTTCCGAGCAAGCGGCGATGAAAGCGCAGCGGGAGCTCGGTGATCTAAAGCGTAACCTCGAGCGCACCACCGAGCGCGCCGTCAAAGAAGGCAGCGAGCGCACAAGCGCGGAGACCAAGCTCCGCAGCCTGGAGCGCGAAGTAGAGCGCCTCAACAACGAGAAGGCAGAGCTAGAAAAGAAGGTCGAGGCCCTGGAGAAGAAAGTCACGGCCCTCGGCACCCTGCACAAGGAGAACGACAGCCGGTCGCAGGCGCTGCGCAAGGACAAGGAGCGCGCGGAGAAAGAGGCGCAAGACGCGCAGTCCAAGATCGACCGCCTCGAGGCCGAGAACACGCGGCTGCGCAAGAAGGACGCTGCCGAAGGCGGTGGTGACGACGACGGGGTGGACGAACTGGAAGACGAGGAGCGCCAGCGCATGCAGAAGAAGATCCGCGACCTCGAGAGCGAGGTGTACGACTTGCGCCGCGGCATCTGGCACCAGCGCCGCAAGGAAATGGAGGCGGGCGCCGAGGACGCCGGCGCGAGTCCCGGCGGCTTCACTAACATCGATCTGGGACAGCCCGGCGCTGCGCGCAAGCATAGTAACAAAGCCGGCGGCGGCTTCGGCGACTTCCTCACCAGCGGCATTAACGCGCTTACCGGCGCTTCGCCGGTCGACGAGAAGGGCGACAATGAGGGGTTCTTGGATGATGATGATATGGAGTTCGACGAGGAGGCGTTCCGCCGCGCGCAGGAGGAAGATGCTAAGAGGCGCCTCGAGCGTATCAAGGAGATCAAGCGCGGGCTTAAGAATTGGGAGGGCTGGCGGCTTGATCTTGTGGATGCGAGGAGGGGTGGAGGCGGGTATGGCGCGGGCGAGGTTTTTGAGGTTTAAGGGTTGGGTATGTGGATAGGGGAAAGGGGAACGGGAAAGTGTGGTTTATGTGTTAGGGGCAAATACATATAAGCCGTGATTACGGGTTAGACGTTGTACGAGTACGAGCGAGAGCCCGAATAAAGACCGGGTTGGCACTGGTATTAGACTTGGCTGCCTCGGCGGTAAGCTTGTGATGAAAGACACTATACCAAACCACTGAGCCGATAGAGTAAGGCTATCGCATGCATGAAACTTTGGCTGTAAGATGGCTTGCTCCGGAATAAAATGGGACTAGGGAGAGCATTCATCCTAAGCGGTTTAAAATATCTGTATGAAATTGACTACTTAGTTCGAATTGATAGTATCTTGAGCCATGAACAAGCGGAAAGCATGAGCCTGACGATGTCTCGAAAACTCTGTTCATGCCTTATTAAACTCTATACCCTACGGTCATTGTGCACTAATAGGAGCACATCGGTGAGAAGGACTCGTAATAGCAGTCGGAAAAGTGATATATTCGTGAATATTATAGAATAGCGCATATGCTGGCTTACGCCGTCCAGCCCGAAAATGTCCACTCACTTAAATACTCCTTTTCCCTCTTTCCCCATACACATTATAATTATATATATCCAACATGTTCGATGCAATATTACATTAGAATTACTGGTCGAATTCCCCGGCGTAGAGGAGACCCCGAGGATTCATCTTGTTCCAGATAGAGCGAAGGTCGAATTCTTCCTCACGCTTGGCTACAGCCGTTCCGTTACCAGCGAGTTCCTTTTCGGCCTCCTCGCGCGCGAGTTGCACTAGTAAGCTGAGTTAGCTAGACACCCCAAAGCATTGTACTTATGGTCGAAAAAAAAGGCAGAAATTCAAGTAAACTTACCATGAAGATAGACAGCCGTTCGCTTGCCGGTGAAAAGTGCGTGCGGCACGTTAGTCACGTTGTCCGAGTTGGCATCGCCGATAGCGTAGACGCCTGGAATATTCGTCGACAGGCCCCGCGAATTATCGGCTGTGAGTCGTCCCCCGTACAGCTGAACGCCCATCTTCTCGCCCACGTCAGAGCGCTGCTCGTCGGGGAAGCTGGTGAAGAAAGCAGCCCTGGTGATATTGCCGCCCTCAGCAAAATCCACGCGGAATAGGTCGTACTCGGGCGCCGTAGGCAGACTCGGGTCGGCGGGTTCCTCCCCGGCGTCGCGCAGCCGCGTGATGCGCGATATGGTGCGGTTCTCAACCGTCACGTTGTGTATCTCTAGGTACTTCTCCCACTGCGGGAAGCTCTTCTCGGCGGCCTCGCGGGCCGCGGGGGTATCGGTGCCGTTGACGAAAGCGACGATATCCGAGTTCAGGGTGGAAATCTCGCGAACGAGTCCCGCGGCTTCTTCTAGCGGCCCCAGGAGTCCCAGCGCCTGGTCCGCGTGCTCGTGGCCATCGCACCATGGACACCAGAAGATTCCCTTTCCCCAGTTTTCCCTGAGGCCCGGGGTATCGGGCAGGATGTCCTGGAGGCCGGTCGCAAGCACGACCTTCCGCGCGCTCACGACGCCGTCGGTGCCGTTTAGAAAGGACGTTGCTACGTTGAACTCCGTGTTGTTGTTGAGCGCCTCGATGCTCGTCACCGTCCCGTTCACTGCGGAAACGGTCCCGTAGTGCGAGATCTGCTCACGAGCGGCCCAGCGGTAGTATGCTGGTGTGACTCCTGTTATGATGTCAGTTATATAGTAATCGGGCAAGTCTGGCTACGAGACTATATACTGACCATCGAAGCCGATCACATCGTGCATGTGTCTGGTCGGGCCGTTGCGGTATTCTCCCGAATCGATTAACAGGACATTCCTGCGCACACGAGCGAGACCGCTCAGGGCACTGAGTCCAGACGGGCCACCTCCAATGATGACGGCATCGTAAGTCGGAGTGTCACGAGACCTGATAGTCGCAGCCCCAGCGAGGGACAGCAGTGGCAGAACGCCCAGGGATATTATATTCTTCATGGCGACCGGGCGTAGCTGACAACGGACACGTCGACTCCTTGGAACCTTACCTTTCGTACAGCGAGAGACTGGGAGCTACTTTGCGCAAGAGTGAGAAGACGTGGGGGAGCCCAATTTTATACATGTAGTCACTAGAATCCTTTTTATACAGTATGGCCGATGAAAACAGGATCCTACGTTAGTTGAGCATGCCCCTGACAGATGATCCTTACCGCATATATTCCTGCGATGGTAAGACAAGACAAGCTCTGGTCACTTGGCAGATCACGACATCTCGCGCTCCCCGTGCCGCCCCGTCCATTATGTACGCAGCAAAATTTTGGTAGTATTCCTGTCTCTAGCGCATGCTTCAGCCCGCCATAGAAAGCGCGTCGATGGCCGTAAATTGACTCCAGCTATGATGTCTCCCGCCGATCCGTGCATTATCAGGTTGTTTTGGTGTTCCCACCCGGCATGCCGATGTAAGGGAAGCTCCAACGGAAAAGGGCTGTTACGATTTCCGTCATGTTTTTATCAAAACAGACCAGTCTTGTTTACATGTGTGTCTCGCCCGGTGTATCACAAAGTAATGCATGCTCCCCCGCACCGTCACCTTATATCAAGCTGATATTGCATACTAGCAGCATCGCTGCAAGATGACGACTTCCAGTCCGGAGTGAGGATCGTCGCGACTATTGAAGGATAATTCGATAATTCTCGTAAACTTAAACTTTGCCCAGGATCTGGTCCGAGACAGACTGTTAGAATTACCCCAATTTATTAGAGGCTAAAAATATCCAATATGCTAGGTACCTGGTGGTGCATGGCCACCGTGATGGCTAACGCAGTAATAACTAGGGTTTCTGAAGGTATTTTTACAATTGTATAATTCACGTATTATACACGTATTATACAGCATCTTTCCGAAAAATGCGTACCCTCGGAACCGGAGATACCTTTCGGTACCTAAAATAGCCGCAAACCCCACCTAAATTGAGGATATTTCAGGTACCCCTCTAGTCTTACCTTTCTGAAGCTACTAGACTTTAACCATTTTCATTTTCTCTTACTCCTAGTATGATTAAAAGCGGTATATCTTCTAATTCAGACTTTTCTACACTAAAGCCTTAGTCAAATATAATCATGTGATAAATAAGTCATGTGATCAAATGTGGATATTTGAATGATGATTAGTAATCGAGGGAATAATACGGAATTATACGCATTTTACAGGGGTTATGTATAATACGTGCATTTTTCAATAGAATGCGCATAATAGAAACCCTAGTAATAACTAAAAAACCTTAGCGGAACAGGCCGCCTTGGCGCAATATTAAACACCTGGTACGAAGGTCTCTATTGTCTCAGTGCAGGCGAATGCCATGAAAGTTCTGGTCCTCTTGAGATGAACTGTGTAAGATAACCATAAAACATACCGTATTGCCTTGGTAAATAGAAATGCAATGCGCGTTGTCTACTAGCATGTAAGTAGGTAAAAACGCCGGGTAGTAATGGGTGGTCAAACACTAAATTTTACCCAACAATCAACCTAGCTAAATGAATTATATCATTAGTAATAAGGATAAGGAATTTCACATTCGAAAGGCAAGATGGCCGAGCGGTTAAGGCGGAAGATTCAAGGGACCACCTTGGACCTTACCTGATTATCAGGTAGTATCCTTCTGGGGAAACCCGCGCGAGTTCGAATCTCGCTCTTGTCAATTCTTTTTTGATTTCCCCCATCAACATACCATCGCTAAATTTTTTTTTTCCCATTGCCCCTAATCCTAATAGACGGTACTTAACGTACATGTATGTTTTTAGCTTCTCCCTCCTTTTGTTCCTTTTTTCAACGAAGATTTAATTTATTTGGGCAGAGATGTGAGAGCGCAGCTCCATCGCCAATTAAAATTTCACCCCCTGACCGCATCACTGTAGTTGTTCACCCCTGAGACTCAGACGCTGCTGACCGGGACATGCGGGATATCAATCAACTGACGATTAGCAACTGCGGTATTGTTGGAACCGGTTACGCCCACAGAATATGTTACGTGTACTGGCAGCTGAAATTCTAGAAGCATTACTGATTGCCAGAATACGTCCACAGTGCTGTCGCATAGCCTTTTGTTTTTTTTTTTTTTTTTACGTTTACAAGGACCCTAGACGCGCCTCGGTCTACAAACAACATCCTTCCCTCTAACGCTTCCTAGAAGGGCAGGTAGCAAGCTCGCAGCAAATAATAGGATCAAATTACACAATACCTGTAATCACTATTCTACTTTATGCCTTATGTAATGCTCTTAGTCTTCTGGTTTTGATTTAATTTGAATTGTGGCTCTGCTTGTTGCTTTGAGGCAAGGCCCATGATAGCTTCAAAATGTCTCCGCCCTGGTCTCCTAACGGTATTGTACCAGTCCTCAGTCGACTGAAAACCCATAGCCCATTTTATCTGCATCGAGGTATCCAGCTCTTGGCAGTGTGGCTCCTAGTTTATTGAAACGCGTCGCAATAGGACCAGAATGAGTCTTCGCGAACCACACTCCGAAGTATCAAGTAGAGGTACCATCGAGCCCAAAATCATTATCTCCGACTCCTTCCTGAGCCGCTTACATGAGCCACAGATGCTTAGGCGCCTAAGAGGAGCCCTACTTTGCTAGAATCGAAGCCGGGTAAGAATCGAAAGCTATGCCTTCGCCGGAGCTGCTGGCATCAGCAGCCATAGTTACTCCATTAGCTCTCCGTACAACAATAGGATTATTTCTGTACGACATGTTCAGGCTTTACCTCGAGGGTAGAACATCCAGATAGCGCATTGTCTGATGAAGCATAGCCAATACGAAGCAACGTCCACCTGGGGCAAATCATATCCAGGCAACACTGATTTGGTGGCTATATCCCGTAAAGTCGCCACCGGATGACTCAACTGATACTGCACCAATCGCACCGGTACCCCAGACAAGCAGGGCGTTCTGACGGTAGTTGTGCTTCATGATTCATCATGGGATCGCATATTCCAGATATACCGAAACCTATAACTTTTGGGAGTAACCAAAACCTGAGTCATAGACAGAAACCAGGCAGTTACTTCCTACATTTACTTATGTGGTGTCCTCGTCTACTCTAGGTAACCCTGTGGGCTCCCGTAAGGCTGGGGAAAAGGAGAAAGACGAAATAGACCCCGAATAAAGGCAACGGAACAAGATACACACAATAGAGGCAGAAAATGGATTGTCCAATTAATTCCCACTGGGCGATGAGTTGCTACCTTCTGTCTCAGTAGCACAAGGCAACCTAGATGTCTTTATGTAGGGACAAGGGTGCCTGACCGTACTGTGAGCACCCCGAGAGCCGCGAATTCGACGATGACTGTTCCAGAAACTAGCAATATCTAGTAATCACCTCCCTGTACGAAGAGAACAACCTTATCCACTAGACCGAGTATTTCACACGGTAGGTGCTAGCATAGTTTGGGTTGACATGGTCACGATACACGCATGCGAACCTCAGCTGATAATAGCTGATATATACACACACTATATTTAGGCCCCCACGTTGGAGTCGTTCAATGAGTCAACCAGTATGAGTTTTCTCCGACGGAGTGTCGGACATTCATAAGATAGGTTATAGGTAGACGCGGTATCTGCCTAGCCCGCACACGAGCCACTTGCTGATCACTAACTAGACTCTCAAGCATATGCTATAGAAGCATCTAGGCAAGTGTCCTACATGTACATATCTCAAAGGGGAGGTCTCATGTTGCATGTCACGAACGGAGATGAAAAAAGAACTATGAAGATTAAGATATTTCATTGTAGAAGCAATAGGCTGTTGACGAGCTAGTATAGAATACACGCCACCCGTTAGTCATAGGCTATACTGCATCATCGCTGCGTGAATGACACTAAACGTGTATATACCGCTACCAGGCTGAGATGGTCGAAATCGTCAAAACCTGCAATGTTGTTGACAACCTTGATACCGTCGAGCTCCTCGACATCGTCGAAATCGTCAAGATTATTGAGATTGCCGAAATTGTGGAAATAGTCGAAACCATTGAGATCATCGACGTCGTCGAAACCATCATGCCTGGAAATGCCAAGTCAACCCGCTAAAACGCCAGGATTCCCGTCGGTCTGGCGGGAATCATAAATGCAACTCGATCATCCTAGTCGATAGCCGCCAACACCAAGTGCCATGCATGCAAAAACATCAAAGTGGGGTATCCTCGCAATCGACAAAGGAGAGGAGAAAATCAAAAATCAGAGTAGACAAGGCTGTTTAGATATGTGTCGAAGGTGGGAGAATTGGGACCCTGGGTAGATGTACCTTGGGCGGAGTCGTCCTGGAGAGCATTCTCCTAGTAGCTTTCCGGGATATCGCCGTAGTTCCCGTAGTTCTGAGCGCCAGTGCTAACCGGGGCAGAGCTAGCGTGGCCTCCAGGACTGGTGTAATCCTGAGGATCGGTGAAGTTCTGGGGACTGGCATGGTGCTGAGGAGCAGTGTAGCCTAGGGAACCGGTGCTCATCTGGGGGCTAGTGTAAGTCTGGACAATACCATAGTCCTGAGGACCAGTATAGTCCTGTGGACCAGTATAGCCCTGGGGACCAGAATTCTGAGTGTTCTGGGGGCCAACGTAGGCTTGGGGATAGTCAGGATAATGAATAGCTATGAAGTTTCGAACAGCGTCCATGTACTCCTGCAAGACACCGAAAAAGGCCTGGAGTACGTCGGCGTAATTCTCCTGATCTATAGTTTGTAGAAGGGCTTCAACACGACCTCGGCAAGTACTAGCATATCCTTCTGGAGCGCTCTAGGCTGTCGAAGAATTTTTACTGGCTGCGCGGCGATTCAGGTCATTGATCTGGTCGGTCAGCGAAGCCAACTGGCGCATCATGGCGATAGTCTGTCGTGTCTGTGCTTCCTTCCACTCAAGAAGTACCTTGTTTCTCCCCCGCAGCTCCGCGTTATCCCTCTCCAGGCGCTTGAATTCCTCTCGGAGGTCGCCTTCGGCCTTACGCTTCTCGCCGGTCTTCTCCTGGGGTTCGGACTCGATCTCCTCGGGATCGTCCTCGGGCGACTGTGCTGCCGCAGGACTAGAGGTAGACTCATTTGGAGTGTGAACCCTGCGTAGGTGCTCGTTAAGATTCTCCGTACGCGAAAAGCCCTTGCCTTCGTGGCGCTTGCAATTACCGTGGGGACAATGTAGAGGGTTCTTGGGCCCGCCGTGCTTGTTGTGAACTTCTCGCTCGTGTCGCAAGAGACCACCGGAGTACGTAAATCCGGCGAGTTTCTCGCAGCCGGGAGCCGTGCATCTGTACGGTCGTGTGTGCTTGTCCATGTGTTTGCTAGAAAAACGGTTAGGGTAATTCACTTATATTTTTGGGGAAAAGGGAGCCAATATCTTACCTCCATTCACACTTCCTGCTGAACGTCTTGACCTCGTCGGTACAGCCAGCATAACTACAATAGTACTTTCCGTCGCGGGTCTTTGTAACAACGTGGTCAGGCTTCGGGATGGGGCCTAGGCGCGGGGGGCGCGAGCCGTCGGCTTTGACCGGCGTCGGCAGACTCTCGGGAGGAGTAGGGGGCCCATGATTGGGAGAGGTCAAGCCCGGAGAGTTGGGCGAAGGCGACATCAATGTTGCGTCCTCCGCTTCGCCGTAGGCGAGGAGATGTACAGGCGGTACAGGGGAATAGCGAACGGAGCGACTATCGCCATCCTCATCTTGACCACCATCAATGCCGGCGGGGTAAGCATCAGAAGCAATAAGGTCGCGATCCTTAAATACCACGCTCATCTTATAGAAGTAGCCGGGGAGCTTCTTATTGTAGGCTCGACTAGCAGTAAAAATTTGGAGGAAGTCGAGACGAATGCGATCGTTAAAGCGATCCTTCGAAGGGAGGGTGTATTGGCGACAGAGGCCCGGCTCTTCGACGGGAGTGGTTATCTTGAGGTCGTACTGAATACCTTTATCGCCCAACTGTTGCTGAATAGCGAAGATATGGTTTGCGACAACGTTTTGACCTAGGGAGAGAAGTAGAGAGTGTTAGAAGCCTGATGCTATCCATAGAGTACCATGGGCGAACCGATGCCGCGATTGGGCGGTTGGAAGTAAAGGCTGAACCACAAGAGCGGCGCCACAAATGTCAAGGAAATAAAGGAACCATGATCATTGAAGAGGGAAGAGAGTTGCAGGGGATGTGGCGCACGGGCCAAGTAGGTATAGTAAATAACCGCCGATCACACCCTGTATAGGGCTAGCTTGGGTAGATCTAGCGTACATGTAGATGTTGTACATGTAACTTTTACATGTACATATAGGGCTTGACAGACAGGGTCCCCGGGGCTGAGAAAGGTAGGTACATAATAGTATTTAAACTTACCAGATTCATCACTAGCCGGCCAGACTTCTACTCCATATGTCCAACTGGAATCGTTCAACTTAGCTTCACGTAAGCTCTTCGCAACTGGACGCGGCGTTCGGGGAGCTGGGATTTTATATTAGCGAAGTCTGTAATCTCTACTTCAGGCGGCAATGACTATTGCCCGACACGAGGCGGAGCGGACAGCGGGTAATAATTAGGCAGGCTAGAGCGTGACTCACCACGACCATTAGCAACTTGGTCAACTCGATCGACTCGCTCCACTGGGTCTACCGGGTTGCTCGCTCTAGATGGGCGTTGTAGGGATTGTCTCCGCTTCTGGGGTACGAGTTGCTCT